AATTATGGCGGGCCATCTGACCTATCCCGCGGCCCATGGCGGGGTGGCCTGGGCTGGCCATTTAGAGGCCTGCCAAACGGTGAGTTTTGGCGGGCTGTGGGCCGGCCCGCCCTATCGGCTCGTTTTGACATGTCTAGTGCTTGGATACCAAATATTCAACTACTTTTAAGTAATCATTTTTTTTAAACTCAAAATAACTCAATACAACTCAACTAATTTTCCTTAATATTATCATTATTATTATTATATAATATCAATCGATCATCACCACACATCACATCAACTTTAATTGTCGTTTCGTCAAAAGAAACTCAAAATTTAACTCAACTTTAATTCAAGCTTATTATCATCAATATTATCAATATAAGTAAATAATATCAAACAATCATGTTTACATATAACATTAATTTTAATTCACGATTCATGCACTCATATAATTTTAACTACCCATCATTTTTAATCACCACTCTTACTTTTACATAAATCAACTTTAATAATTTTATTTTGAATATCATTTTAATACAAACTCAAAACTCTACTCAAATCCAGCAATTGAAACTTGATTGAACATGAATAAGTCCCTTTGGTATTCTATGTGTACTCTTACGTGAAATACAATCAACTTTTTTAAAATTAATTATAATTAACTAAAAAAATTCAATCAAAACTCAAACAAATTTATATCTAGACACAAATAGGTAAAAAAATGCAACATTTCTAAACAAGTACACAATTTTTTTTAATTGAAAAGTAAAAGTTTGGACGGTATGAATTTTCTGCTGCCCGTGGACATCTTGAGCATGTCGCATGATCTCTTGCGATGGAAGCAAGAACATGGGCAACTCAAGGGTCACTTCAACATTATTATTATTATTATTATTATTCATTATTTAATAATACTTTATCATACAATCTAAGAGAAAAAAACAATACTATTAAGACAAACGCATAGATTTTAATGCTAGACCAGCTGATAAGTTGATATAAATAGTGTTAGGAAATATTTAATTTTCTATGTATAATTTAATTATGAGCAACATATTATATACAATTATATTAGTTATTCAATTAATTAATGAACTCAATTAAGTGATCTAAATAAAGTAGAGTCCATGGGCTACGTAAATTGATATGAGCTGATTGGTGGATACCTAATATTGCTAGAGTTGGGTGATAATGAGTGGCCTACCCTAATAGTATATAAAGAGTATCCTCTTGGTTATGGTCCCGAATACACTAAATCAAACATAGTTCTCTTTTCTTCCCATCGGAATTGAGAACGACGGTGACGATCCCATATGAGAAATAAGGCGATTTAGTTGATGAAGAGCATAAAACTGACCCCGTTCGTGATCAAGGATTTGTGCGTGATCCAAATCATGTTCCATGATGATCGGATCCATAAATCCACTTAAGGTACGCTTCCGCTATCTAGGTTGATTCTCGATTATTTGATATGAATGCTTCTGGGCTAAAGCGATGTTTTCGCATAAGGTTAATTCCAACAAATTCGAGTCAATAAAATGGGTCATCATCACCATGTAATTGATATTTTAGATAGATGTCCAAGTATCGGTTGTGATACTCACACAAAGATCACCAATGATGCTTTTAATCTTTCATCATCGATTGAGTTAATGTCGGTTGGCTCTTGTCCATCATCACATGAAGAGGAGAACTCTCAAACCTATAATACAAATGATTGAGAAGGCCTCTTGTTCCATTCCTTTTATTATCGGTTGACATTTGTAAAGTACAATACTTGTTTCTTTGTGAAACGATGCAAATGATTAAGAAGATCTCTTGTTTCATTTTGAATAGTTTTCCTTTCGCAATGATTCCAAATGATGATCCTCTCCTTCCTCTTTTCGGTATTGCTTGTTTGTGAAACATTCACGTTTCTCGTGCTTTCTTGGGTTTGATTATCTCCGTCTTTCATTTTAATGGCATTGCTACTTATAGCAGGATTACTCGAACTCACACTGACTCTCCATTCCTAATAGAAAATCAAGTATATATATTAAAAGTTACAACACATACATGGAAGTATAGAACCACTAACACATACATGTCATAGAAACCCTTGGAAACCATAACAATCACATTTGTTCATGGTTTCACATTACTGAACATATTTAGAAAAACATGAAGAGAAGAATGTATGTATATTTATAATACAATTAAGGTTTCAGAATTTAGACTTTTAGTTACATACAAAGTTTTTGAATCCTTTACAACTATTGCTGCAACTATATCGAATATCAATTATCATCATTCATCATTGCTGCGAGCCTGCAATTATAGTCTAT